TCAGACCATTTGATAAAGTAACAATTAAAGGAAAACGAGTTTTTTTGTATTGACTTATTAATTATGAACTCCTTGATACTTTCATAAGACTGCTCTGACTGTTCAGATACCATCTACATTGTGTTCATGATTGATTGATCATTTCAACAGTTCACGAGTTCAGCAGTCTCATCATAGTTTGTAATGTATGCAGATTGAACCAGAATCACAAACACAACTTCTCGATGCTACAATGAACTTGGAAGGCGTATTGTTAGCTGGAGTTCCTGGAGCAGGAGGATTTGACGCAGTTTTTGCTGTTACTCTAGGAGATTCAAACAGCAATGTGACGAAAACATGGAGTTCAGTTAATGTTCTCGCCATGTTGGTTAAAGAAGATCCTTGCGGAGTTTCATTAGAAACTGCTGACCCACGAACCAATGAAATTACGTCAGCTGTATCTTCAATTCGTATTGAATAAGTATCTCCACCTTTAAAATAAGTCACTACAGGAATATTATGTGGAATGTGGCTTTTAGACTAGGCATTTTTAGTTTCTTTCCATTTTTAGGGGAAAATGAGTGGGGTGATTGAGAATAATCTGTGTTGGTTTTTTGTGCACCCCTCCAATAGTGCTTGAAACAGGAAATTCTTTGAATAATAAATGTGTTGTCCAAATACATTCCTTGCCTTTTTGGATCTATCCACTTTTCTGTGACAGGTAGAGCATTTATTAATTAACAAAATTCTTGTTGTTTGCTTTATTGCGTGTGATGTGAGGGATTCAGATTACATGCAGTGATCTCTTACTATCTTTCTAGAAGTGTTTTAACAAAACTGTCTAAGGGGGAAGAATAGAATATTAAGTCCTGTTTTTCGCTTCTCTCTTTCACTACAGAGACTTTGTACTTTCCTAATTCACTTATACCCATAAACCAAACACTATAGTAAGTTTCAATTTACATGGAAAATTTATTAATTTATGTAATAATTGTAAAAACTAAAGAAGTGAACTTAATCGTAACCACTATTTAAAGAATTATCAATTCTATCAATGAAGTTATATAATCAACACGCTCAAAGGTGTTTTTTTCTAGGTAATTTCTCATCACACTCTTGTTATATAGACCCTTGTTATATGGGACGGATTTTTGAAAATTCGAAAATGTTCTCGGGTGAATTTGGAGATATATTTGAACGCATCAAATATTAATTTTTGGCAAAATTTAGTTTGAAGATGTTTCTCTGAATACACTCCTAAGATAAATTTGGACGCGTTTCTCCGAAGTCACACTTCATTTATTTAGAAATAAGTTCGGAGATGCATATTTGAACTATGTGTGGAGATGATTCGGAGATGCATCTCCGAATTATTGCCTTTGTGATTTTTTCACAACCAATTTTCTAAGATTGTGGTGATTTCAATCTAAATCGATTTTAATTCAATTAAAATTGTCGTTATTTGTTTCAACGATTAATAAAAATGAATATTATAGAACCGAGTAATGCGTTAATAAAATCGAATATTATAGATAAATAAAATATTATCACAACAATTATTATCCAAGTCGATGAAAAATAAATAAAATACTATAAAAAACATAGTCTACTGAGTATGTCTAATCCTAACATCTCAACTCCTCATCTGCCTACGGTAACTCAAGGCATTTTGTGCCTAAAAAAGAATAGAACGTGCTAGAGCAACCACTTCATCGCCACCTCTTTTGAACATTCCATAATCGATGCTCTCTCTTCATCTACATGATAGTCTAACAGATCGGCAAGACGCTAACAACATGATCATTCTATGCTCCAGGATCTCTTCATGAGCAAGCTTAGATGGACGTCCAAGAACGTCCTGTGTCGTGTAAGGGTGTGACACGTTATAGAACCGTGTCTTGTAACCCTCCACATAGGATCACTGTTCTGTGGCTTCATGACTTATCAGACGACTCTCAAAATATGACAGAGTGTCATCCAGACTTATGTGGACAATAATGATAGGAGTAGCCTGGAGACGGGACCTCGGAATGATATGCACGTACCCAAACTGCAGTATGTACCGCTCTAGAAGATACTTGCACATGATGTTAGTCCCACTTGCCAACCATTTAGAGTATAAGGAAATATGGTCGGATGGAACTTTGTCCAGCGTATGACATCCATAGGACGTCGTCATGTTGAATCTGATCGATATACACACGAAACAGCAAGATAACATCATTCTCTCTGCTAGGGATAAACCAAAAAGTAAATGGATAATCATCAGTATAGAACAGGTCAATATTAAACCCATGAATGCGGTGATAGTGGACAAGGATTCATCCCTAAAAACGAATAAGATGAAAAATATTAATATCTAGTGTGAAAAAAAAGTTGTTTGTAACTTAGAATTATGAGATTTGGAAATTATCGTAAGCAGACTGCATGAGTCTGGCATTTGCTTTGTCGTCCATTTATAACCTTCATTCAGATCGAGGTGTAGGTAAATCAAGCACACTGCCCCCACTATAATTTCATTCGTGAATGGACTCCAAGTCGATGAAATATTTGAGGTAAGTCACATTCACTTAGTTTACACTTTTGTCCACAAACATGGACGTGTCAACCAAGAATATGAAGAAGCACCTTAGGGCACACTCCCTATGGTAGGTAACTCAAAAATCATCAGCGTCTGGATGTCCAAATGTATCCAAGTATTTTCCATACAAATCCTCCAATCAAGCAAACTTGGCATTTAGATCACTGGTGCTTCTACACTGCTCAAAGGCTTCATCATATTTAACTCTCAAATAAGTCACCATCATATCAATTACTTTAGTCCTGTTGATCTTAGAATGATCAACCAACTTCCATTTGATGGAAAGGTGTATGAGGCATGCTACATTATCTAGTGTAATAGTCATCTCACCAATAGAGAGGTAGAAAGATGATGTTTCACTATGTCGTCTCTCAACAAATGCAACATGCGTGTCATGGATGATGTTGATCTACCTGAAAGCACAAAGACTTGCAAGCCCGAAGTTCTGGAGTGCATTTTGGAATCAGGCTTCCTCAGGTTGCTAAAGATTATGAACCTTGCATGGTTCACAAATTTCATACATTCACGCTCATGTTGAAAACAAAATATAACAAGATCAGTTGAGTTGAATTTGGATACAAAATATAAAAAAATAGAGGAAGTTCAAAAATATATATCTTCGTCCCAAACATGCAGAACCACATGCTCTCTAAATTAAATCAATAAAGAAGTGTTTGTGATCCCTCTTGAAAAAGGGTCTACAAGGGGGCATCGTCAACAACTAGGACCTTCTGTGCAACTGAGGCATCATCAACATGGTGCACACGACTCTAGGATCCCAACTCCCGTGATAGTTAACTCCTAGAGATCAATGTCTCCCTATCGTGAGGCAAAGGAGGGGCGACTCTAATTTGCTCGTGCTGATGAGCCCTCTCGCGACTAGCAGAGGCGGTTAGGGTGAGTCGTCCGAGTCTTAACCTTTCATGATTTTCAGCCATAGCCATGGAAAAAACATAATAAATTATGAGGAAGAAAAGAGTTCGGATATGCATCTTCGAAAACCTGAAATAACACAGTTCAAAGATGCATATCTAAAGAAAAAAAAGCTTTGTTCTGTTTCAATGGCGGAAATTTTTCTGCAACTGCCCTAGCATCTAAACTCATCTAAATCATATAAACAGAGTCTCTAAACTTGAACACTAACCCATTTGAGCTATCTAATGCATTAAAACTAACTTATTTGAGCTAATACATTAATCAAAAATCAAAATAACTAAAATGAGAAACTTACTCAAAAATGTGTTGATGAGTGTGTAAAGTGCTTTGATGTTGAATGCAATTGTTAGAAGGAGTTGAAAATGATAAGAAATAAGTAAATGTTACCTCAAATCTTGACCTTGAGTGGGAACTTGGAATGGATAGAGTGATGTAGAGAGAAAGTTGTGTATTCTAAAAAATGAACAAAGAGAAAAGGGAGAGTCTGACGCGAGCTTTAAATAAGCTCACTTACTTCAGAGATGCATTTTTGAAATAATTTTTTAAATTTAAAAATACGTGTATTCGGAGATGTATCTCCGAACACATCCTTAAAATGACTTCAGTGATATATCTCCGAATTTTATTTTCAAAAAAATAAAATTTGACGCGTTCAAATATGTATCTTCGAAAACATAAAATATTTTAAGAATTCCGCACAAGACCTGAGAAAATATATAAAGATGCAATGAGAAATTGTTATTTTTACACCCAAGATCCAATTTGAAAGTGCAAAACCCAACTTTTTCATAGACTTGGATTTCAATTTCAATTATTTCTAAATATATATTATATTTCCTCCGTCTCAAAATAAAACTGATTTATCATGCACGAAGAAATATAAGAATTTTACAAAACTACAACTAAAAGTAGCGTAGATACTATTAATTATGAATAAAATTGATAAAATTAATTAAAGTTGTATTGAAAAAGTAAAATGATCTTGTTTTGGGACAAATTTCTTTTGAGACAAAGGGAGTATTATGTTTAGATTGAGAAGAAGTTGAACGGAGTCATGTGTCTCAACAGTTTTCATAGCTATAATATAACAGACACAAACAGCATTTCCATTTGGGCAATTGTTCAATTAGAGATGATAACTGTACTTAATATCTATAGTAAAAAGATATATAGAGAAATAAATAATAATCATTTGATCGCACTATACAATTGACCAATAATGATGTTCATTGATATGCACACCCTACACACCATTTAGCAGTAACTCTTCAAACAAGAAGGCGGCGAGACGAGATGATACCGGCCAATCAAATTCTAGTTCTAATAACTTGAAACTCATTGAAAAAATCAACGTTAAATATTCAAAAACAACTAAAAAAATCCTCACCAGAAGAAACACATTCTGATATACTAAACTTCCACGATATCGAGTATGTAGTTATTTCTCCCATACTTCAACTACCATTTCATTTTCATCTCTTGATTCAACAAAGACTGCTGGTCTTTATATATTCAGATTAAGATATTCATTGCCAACCCTAAAACTGCCGCACTCGGCCAGAGATTTTGCGTTGAGCTCCCTGCCGTATTTGCAGACATAATTTAGACCCACAAGAAGCTCTGTGATTATTTCTTCTGTCTTTTCTTGATTCGCAAAGTAAAGTGTTTGAACCAGCAGCACGTTCGTTCGCGAAACAAAGCTTTGTTGCTCAAAACTCCTCTCAGCTTGCCATCTTATCATGTTATGAGCAAGCGATGCCAACCATTCCAATATGCTTGACATTGCTTCGTTCCATTCTCCTGCGAGACTCGTGTCGTAGACTGATGATGACGCCGTGGTTTTGCTATATGGCTTTAATTTGGCTTTGAGGGCGATTCTCACACGTCTTGGTAGCATGTTGTACATGTCATCTCTTGCATCGAGACCGATCAAGTGTGGAGAAGCTGCTAGCTTCTCAATCACAATGATAACATTTGCATAGTGAAGTGCTAAAGCAGCAGCGCCGAGGGTTTCAGGTGGAGGATTTAATAGCTTGCACATAGATTTGAAGACAGATTGAGTATGATGAACTACTTTGCCAAGACCAAGAAGGTTTGAATTAGCGTCTCTGGGATTCTGAATCCCGTTTTGAACACCACTTGCACTTGAATGACAGTCAATGACAGAGGAACTGTCCCAAGCCATACATCCTTTGAAAGGTCCTACTTGAGTCATTCGACTGTGTCTTGTGTGAGTATCCTTCCCAGCTATGCCAGTAGAGTGTTTATAAAAGTTCCAAATCTTGCTCAATTTTTTGGTTCTACTAAGTGGGACCGATTGATTCGCGCTCCTTCCAAGGGGACCTGAGTAAAAATTGACATTTGTATGCTTTCCTAAAATCGGGCCTGACTTTGTCGACGAGTCACCAAGGGGACCTGAATGAGAAACACTGGTTTTATTTGTTCTAACCGTTGGACCTGAATCAGAAACGCTGGTTTTATTTGTTCTAACCATTGGACCTGAATGAGAGATGCTGGTTTTATTTGTTCTAACAATTGGACCGGATCTCGCTGTAATATTATTAAGAGGTCCTGAAGAGAATCTGGCAATATGATTCTGTGATGGGTCGAATGAAGATTGAAATAACACAGAGACTGATTGACTTCTGTAAATGCTCTCAGAATCTAAGACACTCGAGTTATTGGTTCCACCATCATCTACCATGTCTTGAATACCAAATACATGGTTAATCTTACAGAATATTGTGAATAGCGATCTTGCCAAAAGATGTATTGTGTAATCATATGTCCTGTTCCATAGAGAAATATCCCTCAAGCTTTTCACCTCATGCCTCTTCCACGCAACTTTCTTCTGATACTCGCTTAGACTTACACCATCCGTCTCACCATTAGGCTTCACTCTTGTAAGAGTTTGCTCCAGCTCGGTAAGCACCTCCATCTCTTGATACAGACTCGCATTAGTCGATATAAATTTTTCCATCTTTTTAATCTTTCTTTCCATCTTCTTGCTAGTGAATTCCCACCCATATGGATCCATACCCGTAGTGATAAACCCATAAAAGGTGCTTTCAAAACCTTTCAATATTGGATCTTTGCATTTCTTTGAAAGCCTAGCCACAGACTCGGCCACATGTGCCATATTTTCTACTATCTCCATACAGATCAATCGTTCAATAAAATGATCATCATCTGAAACAAGCTTTCTTATGCCGATTGAATTTGTGATCTCTTCTCTCAACCTAGCAACCTGTTTATCACTCAGTGATTGCCATAAATTAACAAGCTTGGACATCAAGCTCGCTATTTCAAATGCTAATACTCCAATCACCTCCTCGGAGTTAGCATCATGCTTCCGAGGAGCTCTCCACAGATTACGAAACCATGACTCCGCAACCATTGCTTATCTAGGAATGACAAGAAACTGTCCTCTTTAAGGTGATTTCTTTGTCATAGCTCTGTAATACTCAGAAAATAAAACACAAAACATCACTGTCAAAAAGGGTGTTATAACTTATACATCTAATACTCAGGCAAATAAAACACACATTTTTTCAAAGGTGTCGGTGCTGCAGAGCTTGCACCGAATCAAGCTTGTGCCGAATCATCAACAATAAACCACTAAAAACTGGCTCTGGTAGCTAAAAAAAACTATACATATTCAAGTACAAGCAAAAAGCAAAGCTAAAATTTTTCTTGTTACTCAATTTGGTTTGTCAAATGTCCTTTGGCCTTTTACTTTCTAAAGGATAAAACTGCTTAACTAAGAAGCAAAAAGGGAATACAAATGTTCTTATCTAGAAAACATTTCTGAAGAATATATAATTAAAAAAGAAAGCTACACAACAAAAACCTAAATGTTGATCCTATTCTCTTGCTACTCAAATTGAATGTTGAAGGTTCCTCAAAAAAGTACATTTCTCTAGATAAATGGTCCAATATCAATTCAAACTAAAATCACAATTAGAATTGAAAAAATAAATGACATAAATCTTAAACCCCAAGAACTAAACCCAAATCTTACAAGCAAACCCAGATTGCAAGAACTTTATAAAATCACAAAGTTACAAACTTTTTGCCATTGAGATACTTTAACAGACATTTAGTTAAATGGGTCAAAAAGTTTGTCAGTAAAAACTCAAATCTCACACCATAGTGATTATAATAAGCAAAAGGCAAAAGGAGTGTGATAAAGCGGAGTAGAAGAAAACTCACCGATCAGAGAAAAGCAGAAGTGGCCAGGTGGGAGATGAAGGAAATGGGATGGGAAGGTGCACATGGAAATTGGAATGAAATGCAAACAAAGTTGAGAGAGAGAGAGAGAGAAAACGAGTGAAAACCAACTACATCCAAAATAATTAATATTAGTTTCAAATTAATAATAACTCCATCAATATTCCACAGCTCATTTTTTATATTTGTTTTTAAGATTGGTTTTTTTGGGGATAAAGATTGATATATTTTAAGATATAATAAAATTTGTTTTGTTATGTATTTTTTTTTTTCATAGTCAAAATCTCTTAATCTCATATAGTATCATCATAACTTATATAGTTGGTAGAGGATTAGTTTGTTCTATCTTTTTTTTTTTTAAAATAATTTTTATAATATTATATATTTAACGAACATTATGATATTCTTAGATTTAGTTGGATATTAATACTCGTTGGAAATTCATTAAAATCTATGATAAATTTCTATTAATTTTAATGAACATGATTGTTATCACCACACAATAACGATTAAAATATGAAAGAAAGACAATGATTTTCTGCAGAGTTTCTCTCTATCCACAAACTGTGGAAAACCTTTTATTCACTTTGCAACTGCAAAATTCTGTGAATACAATTTGATTGACTTAATTACAAAAATAGAGGTTATCCCGTCTATTTATAATTGAGCTTACTTTCTCTCTGAGCCAAAAAAAGTCCAAAACTATAAAAGTCCAAAATACTTATTTTGGAACAAAATCAAATCTATCTATTTTAGATCTAAATCAAATCTAAATCTAAAACCAAATCAAATCTATGTGCAGCCTGCTTTGATACACAAGCTCTTTGATAGGTCAATGGTTTCCGTCGAGCAACCTGCTTCAACAACTACTTCCCTTCGACACACATAATTTCGACATCAAGAAATTATAATTTAACACACGACCTGATTTATTGTGTCTAAACTATCTATATTCATCATAGCTCTTAGTCTTCTGAACACTTCGACCTACACACACTTCGTCATGATGTCTGCAGTCTGGTTCTCAGTTCTGCAGTGTTCCAAGTTTATCTTCCTAATTGCTACCTCTCTCGAAGATAGTGGAATCTTATCTCAATGTGCTTGCTTCAACCATGTGCTATCGGATTCTTCGTTAGGTTGATAGCTGACATGCTGTCAATCTTCATGGTAATTGCTCCATGATCTTTACCTGTAATTTCTTTGACCTAGTTTACCATTCATGTTGCTCGACATGCACAAAGAAAAGCAATTATGTACTCTACTTTGCACAATGATAATGCCACTACCGGTTCCTTTCTTGAACTCCAAGCAACAAGTACACCACCTAGCATAAACACATATCTTGTTGTGGATTTTCGATCCTCGGCATTACTATACTAATTTGAATCAGTGTATCCCACTAACTTGCATTCTTTTCCTTTATCAGCTGCAGGAAATACAATACCTTAGTCGAGAGTTCCTTTCAGATACCTTAGTATCCTCTTCACCGCTGTTAGATGTGATACCTTTGACTTCTGCATGAATCTACTTACCATACCTACATTGTATGCTAAATCAGACCTTGTATGACAAAGTTATCTCAATGACCCAATAAGTCTTCTATATTGGGTTGGGTCGACATCATCTTCATATGTACCTTTCGATAGTTGCAACTTTGATTCTGCGGGTGTCAAAGTCGAGTTGAATTCTTCCATCTCAAATCTCTTGAGAATTTAACTTGCATATCTTCTTTGACGCGTCATCAAACCTCTATTGCTCTTGCAGAATTTGATGCCAAGAAAATATAAAATGTCACACAGATCAAACATTTTGAATTCCTTGTTGAGATCACCTTTGAAGTCTTTGATCTCCTTCTTGCAACTACCTGTTATTAACAAGTCATCGACATAGAAACATAATATAAGTAATTCATTATTGCTTCTTCTTACATATACTCCATGTTCAGTTGTGCATTTCACAAATTCCTTATCCCTTAGGAAACTATCAATCTTCTTATTCCAAGCTCTTGGAGTTTATTTTAATCCATATAGGGCTTTATCCAACCCGTACACCTTTCTCTCTTCGTCATGTTTCATAAATCCAACTGGTTGTTTAACATAAACTTCTTTGTCTAATGGTCCATTCAAAAATGCACACTTCACGTCTATCCGACATATGTGCCAATTGTTTATTTCTGCTAGACTAACAACCAACCTGATTGTTTTGATTCTAGCAACAGGTGCAAAAACCTCATCAAAGTATGTTCCTTCTTTCTGGAGAAATCCTTTCTCCATAAGCCTTGCTTTGTGTCGAGTTACTTCCCTGTTAGGTTCCTCTTTACTTTGTATACCCACTTGAAATCAATTGCCTTCTTACCTTGAGGCAATTCAACAAGTGACCAAGTGTTGTTGTCTTCGATGGACTTCACTTCTTCATTCATTGCTTTCTCCCACTTCAAATCTTTCAATGCTTCAGTTGTATTGACAAGTTCGACATCTGTACAAAAAACATAATGTACCAGCTCACCTTCATTATCAACCATATCATCTGATGTAATAACACAATCTTGCAACCTTGCAGGCATGCGTCTTGTTCTCTAAGGTTTGTTTTGTACTTAGTTGATCTATAACTTTCTCTTGTTGAACTTCTACTCTTTCGACTTGAGTTTCTGGTTCTTCAAGTAAGATTCTCACTGAGTATTTATTTACATTTTCAGTCCAATCCCTTTCTTTAAGCTCGTCTATGATCACGTCCCTGTTGATCATAATCTGCTTGTTCATTGGGTCGAACAAACAGTGGAAAACCTTTTATTCACTTTGCAACTGTAAAATTCTGTGAATACAATTTGATTGACTTAATTACAAAAATAGGGGTTACTCTCTCTATTTATAATTGAGCTTGATTTCTCCCTAAGCTAAAAAAAAGTCCAAAACTATAAAAGTCCAAAATACCTATTTTGGAATTAAATCAAATCTATCTATTTTAGATCTAAATAAAATCTAAATATAAATCTAAAACCAAATCAAATTTGTGTGCAACCTGCTTCGATACACAAACTCTTCGATAGGTCAATAGTTTTCGTCGAACAACCCGCTTCGACAACTATTTCCCTTCAACACACATAGTTTCGACATCAAAGAATTACAATTTAACAATAATTTTATTCAATTAAATAATCACATTCAATGTCATGTTATTTTTTATATATTTTTTATTTGAAAATAAGTTAATATTTTAAATTAATTTCTATTAAAGGTATTGGTATTCAACTACTTATCATGGATATTTAAGAATTTGTCTATATATTTTTGTTTAAAAGAAATTCATAAAAAAATTTCATAAAAGATTCAAATATGAAAATTTTATTTAAATGGTTATTTTAAAATATTATTTTAGATATTTTATTATTTTATTGATAAAAAATTAGATATTAAAATTTTAAAAAATTACTTATTTTGAAGTTATTTCAAATAGTTTTTCATAAAAATCATTTTTGAAATACAATTTTAAAAAATATGATTTTGACTATGTTTTAATCTTCAAGAATGTATGTTTTTGTTATAGGATGTCAAAATTAATCTTTCAATTTCAAAAAAACAAATTTAATAAACTTGTAACATTTTGAAAAAAAATTATAAAAATTATTTTTGAAAATACAAAGAATTTTTTTTTTTAAAGTTCAAACAAACAGGTCCAGAATGACATCATTTCATTTATGATGATGACAATGTATCTCTCAAATAGATGATAAAATAAAAATATTAAGATGAAAAAATTAAAATTTTAACTCACCATCACAGATGAAGAATAATATACTATATACTTCTCCATGTTTGACATTATTCTAAAAAGAAGAAGAAGATAAACACGTAAACAACACGTAGAATAAATATTTCACACTGAGAAGAAAGAGAAAAATCACATAATGGATTAATCAATGTATGATTGATTTAAAATTCCTAACTCGGTTCTTATGAAAAATAAATTTTATTTTAAAAAGAAACTTAGTAAAAATATATGTCAATCGACTAGATGAAGATACAAACTCAATTATGCAATTTCTTTTTTTGACATGATCAGTAATAAAATAGTGCATAATCTCAATGTGTTTCATCCGAGAATGAAGTACCAATTTCTTGATTAGGTTTATGTCACTAGTGAGATTAATTTCATAATCACTTAATTGTC